AACCAAGTCAAAAGCTGAGTCGAGTATTTATCCAAAAATTCATCCATATGGTTAAAGGAAACACGGGTGCGACCATAGACGTCGAAGGAAACCAACTTGGTGAGGCGCGCACACTGACCAAGCTCTTCGAGCAACACCGAGCCAAGCTTTGGTGAAAAATAAATGTCGAGGACATGGTTTGACACTTTCTATCGATGACATTCTACGGGACTGGGGAGTTACACACGGGAAATGTATAGTTGATGGATGCACCGAAAACGTAGCGGCCCTGATAGGACAGCTTGAAGACTAGTCCAAGTAGTTATGAACCGAGCAGTGAATTTTAAATAATTATTATCTCCTCCAATTCCCTCCTTCTTGTTAGTGTCTTGTCCGTTAGGTTTCCTTGAGTATACAAGGCGGGTAGCCCCCATGGGCGCTTGCGCAACTTGGATTGGACCACACCCACACCGTCAACATAGTGCCATGTCTTTGTACGAGGATCGCGCTCTACAATCAAGCCAAAGTGGCATTTATCCACTCTTTCGTCTCAAGAACATAGCTGACGAATCACCAGAGAGTGCAACCCACAACCACTTGTTCGGCCAATCAAGACTGCCAAACGAGGTTCTGATAACAATCATACAATTCGTACATGCGAAAAGAGAATTATATGCACTCTGTCTAACTAATAGATTCGCTCGGGAAATTGCTACGCCCATTCTCTACCTGCATTACTTTGCCAATAGTCAACTAGCCAGATCCTTCAATGATCTCGACGTAGTTCTACAACATCCCCAATTCGGACACATCGTGAACACTCTTCGTATCTCCCTCCCCTCCAACTCCTGCCCATGTATCAGAGAGTATGGACTTGCTCCATGCTCATGTACTATTCGGGACGAGGAACTAGGAGGCGTATTGATCAATTTACCTAACTTGAAATCATTGGACATTGATTGTGACCTGTGCCCCCCACAAGGGTCTCACCGACATCAATACCTCCTCCATCTTAAAACACGGGTATTGCAAGCAGTTCGATTCAAGTGCAATTGCTCAAGAATAGGAGATGTCGAGATGTCGAAAATGCTGGGTTCACCGTCTATGGATTCTGTGACCTCGCTGGACTGGAACATTACGAAAGCCCATAGGGAGGATTGTGATTATCTCACTTCGTCCCTGAAGCATACAAGCATCCTTTCAAAACTTGAGGAGCTTCACCACAACGGGAGCAGGTATGACGACTCACTATGGCGATACCGTCAAATACGACGACTAGATGGGAGTTATCTTTGCAATTGGAAGGCATTGCTAAATGGCGGGATTCTACACAGGGGTGATATATCACTAACACATTTGAGCCTTTGCTCCTTCTTCATCAAGGAGTTGGCTCAGCTTATAGAACAAGACCCTAACCCTCTACGCAACCTCCGACATATCGGAACCTTCGCATATTTTATGGTAGGCCTTATTGTTCCACTCTCATCTGACTTTATCACTTACTTCTGCGCTAAAGGATGGCCCAGGATTGCTCGAATATCTTCGTCAATACACACGCCTCAGCAAGTTAGTTTCCTTCGATGTCCATGTTGGCTCCTATGTTCTCCTCACCGATATGGAAGAGTTTCTGGACAGATACTCGATTCATCTCTTGACATGGTTTCCCGAGTTACGCAAGGTATTTTTTAGAATACAGGGGAAGATCGATGTGTGGGTGAGGTCCGATAAGGGATGGGAATGTCGATTACGCCATTTGAATGTTTCTAGTGATGACCTTATACGAGACTGGGGGGTTCTATACGAGAAGTGCATTACTGATGGATGCACCGAGAACGCAGCGGCCCTGATAGGACATCCCGAAGACTAGTCCAAGTAGCTCCCAATTGAGCAATGAAACCTATATCATTATCTCCTCCAATTCACGCTTTGACTGCTAAATTTTCCTGATTATAGAGAGGTGTAGCACATCATGAGCGCTTGCCCGACTTGGACCGGACCATACCTACGCCGACGACATAGCAACATGTCTTTACACCCATATTACGCTCCACAGTCGATTCAAGGTGAACATATCCGCTATTTCGTCCTCAGCGTGTAAACTAACGAAGCATTAGGGAGTGGAAACCAAGTGTCGTCTGGTCAATCAATGCTGTCGAGCGATATCCTGGTAGCAATCATCCAATCCGTACATGCGAAAAAGGAGCTATATGCGCTCTGTCTAACCAATAGACTCGCTCGAGAAATCGCAACGCCGATTCTCTATCTCCATCACTTTCGTGGCAGTCGATTGGCCGCAAACCACGCTAACAATCTCCACTCAGTTCTGCAACATCCCCAATTTGAGCATATTGTAAACACTTTACATATCCACCTTTCCTCCCAAATCTGTCCGATGAGGGGTTTTGGTGGATCTTCGTGCCGATGTTCTGGACATGACGAGGCACTTGGGACAGCATTAACCAACTTATCTAACCTCAAAGTATTGAATATGCAATGTAGCCTGTGTCCTGTAACAGGCTATAGTCGACATCAATACTTTGCCCATCTCAAAACACGGGTACTACAGAGAGTACAGTTCGTGTGCTTTTGCTCCAAGATGGCGGAGGTGGGGATGATAAACATGCTGGGCTCGCCATGTATGGACTCCGTGGCCTCGTTGCATGTCTACAACCGAAACCGTTCGGATGACAGCACCCAGTTCGAGGCATTCCTTAAGAACCCAAAGGTACTCCCTAAACTCGAGGAATTACATCATAGTGGTAGCAAATTTGATGATTTGCTTCTACGTCACCGCCGAATACGTCGACTCAGAGGAACTTACTTTTGTGATTGTAGTGCGCTACTGACGAGCGGGGCTTTACGGAGAGAAGATATCTCTCTAACCCATTTGAGCCTTCAATCCTTCAAGATTGACGATTTAGCTAAGCTTATAGAAGAAGACCCTAGCCATTTATGCAACCTCCGGCATATCGGAGCCTTCTCTTCATATTTTAATGTAGGCTCCATTCTTCTACTTTCCGTCTTAAGCTCTTGCTAATTTTTCCACCAAAGCTTAGCTCAGGATTGGTCGAAAATCTTCGTCAATGTGCACGCCTTAGCAAGTTGGTTTCTTTCGACGTGTATGGCCGCTACGGTGTTTCCTTCACCCATATGGACGACTTTTTGAATAAACATTCGAGTCAGCTTTTGACTTGGTTTCCCAACCTACGCAAGGCATTCTTACGAATAGACGTAAACCGCACTTCTGTCACAAGAGTGTGGCTGCGATCCGACAAAGGATGGGAATGTCGAGGACAGGATTTTATTCTTTTTGATGATGAGCTTGTACACGACTGGGGTGTCTTATACGAGAAATGTATAGCTGACGGATGCAAGGAAAACGCGGCGGGTTTGATAGGACATCCCGAAGACTAGTCCAAGTAGCTCCCAATTGAGCAATGAAATCTATATCATTATCTCCTCCAATTCACGCTTTGAC